AGGTGTGCCCTCATTTTTAATCTCCGAAAACGGCCCCAAGACAGCTTCTTGAAAAGAAAAGCACTCCAAGCTGCTTAGCTCTCGACTTGGAGATCTCGTCCATAGTTCCTCTTCCCACCTGTGCTTTTGTTTGGCAAAAGCCCTCTAATTCCAGCCCAGTATCCAAAGTAAAGTAGCATCCAGCCATCCTCTCCAAGCGGTGGGCAATTATGTACGGGTTCCCGCGGACAATGAAGGTTCCATACCTTCAAAGGCCGGGCTGCCCCGTTCGGCAGGGTTAAGCACCGTGACAGACCTGTCTTCCGAAGTGGAAGACGACTTTCACCAACACCAGCGCGGGGGGAGTGCCGACCACCCCTCACCATCCACTGAGCAACGAAAGCCAGTGGATTTGAAGCACTAGCGGGATTCAATGGGGCGAGTTGCAAGGGTCCTATATACACTCCCCCGAAAGAATCCTGGAAGTGAAGTTCACCACCTGCTTGCGATTCGGAAAATCGTCATCCGAAATCGAGGTTATGCCATCCACGTTGGCCCATGATTCTTCCAAAAAATCTCTCGAGAGCAGATTCTAGTCTCGGAAAGGTTCCCTACGTGCTGCCGACCGTGGTTGAACATCGACCAAGGCGCTCAGTAAGCATCGGTATCTTCCCCAGCTCCACATGAACCTGCATGGACTACCACCATTGGTGGAGCTTCGGCGGTAGCTCGGGGGAGTTCGCTCATACTCTCCTTATCAACGCTTTAGGGCCTATGACAGGTTTGCAGTGTGACTTTTGGGATGAACTTCATCAGGGTTGAGAAACTCCTTGCGCTAAAAAGGCAGGGAAATGACTGACAGCCGGTAACGACCAACAAGGTCGCCTCGCTCTTCAGGTATTGGGATGCCTGGATAGATAGAAGGAAGAGAAGGTTTGGGATCATGAAATGATCTGGCATCCACAGCAATCCTGCTTCTTCAGGTCAGATTCCTGGAAAAGCAACATACCTATAAATCATTCTGAAATCAGCATGTGGGGCCCCCCTCTGAGCCATCGCTGCCTCGATGTCCAAGCCCGTCGCTGCGTCACTCACCTTCATGGGCACCACAGCCCTCAGTGGGCCAAGTCGGGAGCCAAGTCATTGGTCCAACCACCCTGCGTTGAAATGGTGCAGCATCCGTTTCCTTTCCGCAGCTCTTCCCCTTCCGCCCGAGGTATTTGGCCCTATCCTTCAACAGCATTCCGCCTGCCCTTCGGACCTTGATCTATCCTTTGGTAGCCGTGAAACGCCCACAGCATGGGGACTGACATGATCTTTCATGATCTTTCTGTCGCTTCCCTCTCTTCCCGGAAAGACGGTCGGATGGTGTCCACCATTGTTGTGATAGTCTTCGAGGGAAACTCCACGGTTGCATGTTCTTCCATTGACCTTTGTCAATAAGTGTCCGGCATCTGGCCAACTACATAGAGACAAGCTATGCCATGATCATGGGTCTCCATGGTCGCTACTAAATGTCCAACATGCATCTTCTTCAGTTTCAGATGATGTGCTTCCAGCTCTGTTTTGTCTTCTTCGCCTCACGAGGCCTTTGGAAGAACTCCGGCCGCGAAAAGAACCGCCGCGCTGAAAGTCGCACCTTTCCACCGGGCCCCCCGACGTGCAGGTGTAGCTTTGGTCATGGAGTTGCACAACAGCTGGAGAATCCTCCGACTCCACATAGTACCTCCAGCTGTTGTGCAACTGGTCGCAATCCGTTCGACTGCCAGCGCGAGCGCTCGAGCGCTCGAGTGGTCAAAATCGGATCGGGAACTGAAGGAAAAACTGGGTCTGTTTGGTCTACGACTCCTTCAAACAATCATGGTTACGTAGATGGCATGGCCCCTTGGATGACCATTTTCCTTTACAAACAGGTGGTTGCCCAATTGCATTGTCTAATTGTTGTTCGTCCATGTTGTGATGATTTCGCCCTTCAAGAAGGGTTTTCCCCAAATCGCACAGTCACACGTTCCGGAAAAGACATGGAGTGCTTCCCGCACTCCAACAGGAGTGTGGGATCACTCACTCCGGATTGCTCTTGGCAGGCCTAGCATGCCCCAGCCCAATGGGCTGACTTCTTCATCAGCCAACGACCGGGGCTGCGTCAGCCGACTGGAAAGAGCGTGGACCCAGGCGTCCGGTGGTTTCCGCCACCTCCCGGTGGGTTTCAGCCAGGTTGCAACCGGTCTGCCAAGAGCTGCACGGAGAATCGACGGCCCTGTGCGACGGGGCGTGACCGGCCCTTTGTTGCTGGCCGGGGGTCGCTAGGCAAAAACGGTTCTTCCAGGTCTGAAGGAGCTTCAACCGTGATTTCATAAGTCTCGCCAAACCACAAGCAAGCATATCACGAGAGCCAGCTTTCTGGCACTGTGAGGTGAACCTTGATCCTTTACCTTTGAGAATGATCTGGTCTTACCATGTCTTGATGTTCTTGGCTGGAGACTCTTGGCTTGATGGGTCTGCACAGGCCAGCAAGAAGGCCGAAGAGCATGTGGCTGGGTACCATGCTATGCTGCTATGGCCAGGACAAGAATGGTGCCACCTGGCAGTGTTCACCCATCCCGTTTCGTAGCATCTGGCAGCATGCTTTTTACTCCACCCTCCATCTCTCCAACCTAGTCGTTCGTCCCTCGAACCAAAAAAAGAAACACGGAGGTTCCTTCGTGTTTGAAACACGCTCGTTCCTTCTTCCGCGTCACATCTCGACCGGCCTGAGAGAGTGGCAAATGCAGATCCTTAAGGCGCACGGTACAGAGACCCTCAGCCACCTTCAGAGATTCAACGCCTCGCTGAAGTGCCTCTTCCTGACACAGAAAGCCAGTCAGGCCCAGGAAGAGGCACTCTGGTACCGATTTGTAGCCACTATCAGCCACTATCTACTGAGATTAATCTACTTCTACAAGTGCTTTCACAACACCATGTGAGGGAGTTGTCAAGATCATATGTGCCAACGAAATCTCAAATGCAAAATACGGGGGGGGGCAACGCAAGGTGGGATGACCGGAAGGCTCCCGAATGAAGGAGTGTGAAAAGCTGTTGCAACCTCAAAGCAGGACCGTCAGTTGCGATCAACTCTTGAAAAAAAAAGAACGAAACAGCCTCGGAGATGAGGACGTAGCTGTTGTCAGACAATCGGACTTGATCTTTCACCAGTTCCAACTGCTTTGGGAACAAGTGCGTCAAGAAGTGCTTGAAGGAGTCTCGGTGGCCCTGCAGTAGATGCAGCTGCTGGTGGTTTCGAGCCATCTCATCATGTGCTGCCGCCGGCGGGCCTTCTGGACAGCCCACCTGAAGCGGAATCGATAAGCAAGTGAGAATCTGGTGTATGTTCAGAACTTGTTCGTTGACCTCATTTCTGATCATCGACCATCAAAAATATGGTCTGTCCTGTCAAAACAGAGGTCAAATGGGCTCTGGGTTTAGGTATCACGTGTGGATCCTACAAAATCCAAATCAGATCGGCCTTACAGCCAAGGTACAACTTGTCCAGTGGTTGTTAGCTCCTCTTACTTCTTGCTGGTGCATTGACACAAATACAGGCCCGTCCTTTTCACCTTATCCCTGCGTTTCGGCCACATATCGGTGCCTTGTGATACCATGTATCCTTGATGAGATGCAGCGTGGGCAGTGGCAGCGCGCCACTTCTCCTTCCTCCACGCCGCCGCGCGACTCCGAGGATCGCGGTCACTCCGAGGAGCGGCGCCCGCAGCGGGGAGGATCCACAGGGCCTTTGAAGGGACCGACTGCGTCGGGTTCGGAAGGTTGAACTCATCCAGATCCCACATGGTCATCCGACACGGCCGGTGTTTGGGGGGGAAGGACCAAACCGGTCCCACCGGTTGGTTCGTGTCTTTGTCGGGTGCCAGCGAAACGTTCTGAAGTTCTGGATGTGATTGGCGTCCAAATGTTTCAGTGCCAAGTTTACATATGGGCATGATTCAAAGGCTCCCTTGACCTCACGTGGATCCCCTTAGGGCAAGGACCTCATGTTCTCAATCTTTCCGCCCAGAGCCGGGAGTCTGAAGAACATAATTCCATTACACGCGTCTTCAGACTTCACGCTTCTTCCTTTCCATGAGCACAAAGCGAGTCTCGCCTTGAAAAGCAACAGGTTTTCAGCAAGCATTTTCAGCATGAGCCTTCCCCAAGACCTCTGAAAATGATGCAACAGGTTTTCAGCATAGACCCCAAACAGTAAACGGTCGCACTTCCGTCCGCTCGACTCTCTGACCACTCTCGCCTCGCGACCACTCTCTTCGGCCCGCGAAGGTCGTCCGACCCATTTGACCGTGGACTCGAAGGGGTCGAAGCGCCCAGAGAGGCCAAAGAAGGAAGGCTCAACATGTCTCGCGGACCAAGCGTGGTCACGCGGTGCCACCGCAACAGGCCAGTGAGTCCGTCTGTCGATCAATCCAAACGGGATAACAAATCGAGGTACAGCGTCTGATACTCGAGGTATAATCAATTTGTTTGGAAATGGCCTACGGCTGCTGCCATTGCAAAAGGCTTTTCCTGGATCAGTCGCTTAACACAAGCATGAGTCAAAGCTAGCCAGTGGCCACAGAGAACATGCCATATAAGGACCATTCTGCAAATGCTGCTTGCCTGCACAGTGAGCCGAACCGCAGCAATGCAATGATGAAAGAAATTGTTGGGGGGAGAGAGAGGGAGAGAGAGAGATTAACTTTCCAGAGAAATGCATGTGAGCAGTTGTCCGTTCAGCGAAGAGTTCTCGAGGTAACGCTGCTTCAGAGATACAGTCGCACGACCAAGGCTACACCTACACCGTGACTTCTTCTTTGAAGAGGTCGCAACCTCTGTCTGGCAGCCCTAAGGAGAAAAGTTGCCTAACACCCCTTCGAAAGCTCGGGCTTCAAGGTCTGTTCAGAGAGATGAGTTCGTCCGGCTTCCTCATCCCCTCAACACCATACCTGCCCCCTCACCATTCCACCACCTTCCACCCACACCCATCAAGTCAGCTCCTCCTCCTGCAACCGGCCCAGCACACGGGTCTCCCCCGCGCTCGCGCGGAAACCCGGCGTTCCGGTGCTGCCACCCCCGACGACCTCCGGCGCAGAGCAGGTCAAGTCGTGACGCCTTCGTTGGATTCATGTGTGTGTTGAGACACACCTGGCTGTGGGTTGCCAGTAACTCACCGGGTTGCCAGGAACTCACCGGTAGGTTGACCATGTCTGGTAGTCTATTCTGTTCATTATTGGTGGGAAATCTTTACAAGATTTTACAAGTGTGGAAAAAGAAAGACCTGGCGATACCGGTGATCAAACACTAACTTGGCAGAAAATGGCGCACTCATCACCCGGCAAGCCGCAGAGTGCTGTCTGCAAAGCCCTGATGCCACTGTAGGCAAACTTTGGGTTTATCCCATTCCCTGGGCCCAGTGGATGATGATGGTTCAGTTGCAGGCAGACATCTCAAAAATCGTGATAACCCTTTATCGACGGTTACAGATCAAATGGGACACGTCCCTTCGGCAAAGCGGGCAAACAACGTCCCCGTGAGAAAAAATTGCCAACTCGCCCGTCCACGAGTCACCCCAGCTCACCTGCAAACGGCGCCGCTTCAAGCTTCCTGGCACAGCTTCGGTTGTTTTTTCAGCTTCTGTAAGAATCTGGGCCCGGTTCGCAACACATCGGATTTTGAGGGTCTGGACCCCTGCTCTGGAGGGCCGGGCCGGGATTCTGAGGGTAGAGCCGTTCTCTCTTGCGTCTCACACGGTGAAGCTTCAATCTTCACCCCCTTCAGACACACCATGGGAGGCACCCCCCCACCTGGGAAAAAAGGGGGAGGGCGAAAACGATGTGAACCTCGACCTTTGTTTTAAGGCATTTGCTCAAACGCATCTCTCTTGAAGGTCCTTTCTTTTTTGAAGCAGTAAGGGCCCCAGCCTTACACGATGTCTTGAGCATCCATTGAACCTGGTGGATGGTCCTTTTGCTACACTGCCACGCCACCCTGCCTGCTTCGTGAACTCCCTTTGGGCACACGAGCGTGGGCGTTCGGGACAGTGATTCCTCTACCTCAACGATCAAACGTGTGTGCGCTCGCAAAAGTTGATCTTTAAGACTATAAAAATGATCCAACTCCAACATTGACTTGACAACTTGAACAAGAACATCCACCAGCCTCAGGAGCTTCGATGGAAGCCACCAAAGATTCCCAGGATGCCTCCTGAAAACCGCACACGATCTGGATCACCTGTCCTCAAGAAACAATATCTAGCAGCGGCCCACATCCTGCCTCCTTCTTTTGCTGCTACACCAAAGTCAAGCACTTGTAGAAACAATTTATCAAAGCAAGACTTTTGAAGCCGGCTTCTCCTTGTTGCCCCTAGTCACTTCGAGTTCCGAACATGTTGATTTTCGGAACATGTTGATTTTCTATATAAAAGCATCTCTAGATTCTAGATTACCGTCTTTCTAAATATGAGCGAACTGAAGCTTCAAGAACATGTAGGAGGCTTTTCTCAGCACGACATTCACCCGATCCCAGGTCCCCGCGGAAAGCTGTGGGTCAAACAAAAACCATCAAAATCCCAGTGGATTCAGACCCCATGCACTGTTGCATGGCGGTGAATGGCGGGATGTTCTAGAAACCTAACAGGCGCTTCATCGACCTCCACAGCAACGATCCCTTCGCAACGGTCCAGAAGCTCAGCCGCGCAAAAGGCATCGCAACTCAGGGAGTGCCAACAGCCTCGCTCGCTGGCGGGGTGAAACAGAGCGAAAAGCTCCCGGCCTTTTCGACCAACGGCGTTCACTGAAATGTCTGATCTTATATCCGATCGGTGAATCAAGCTGTTGCCGGCACAAGCTGGATCAGATCCTGGTCATCCAATTTCCGACCCACGGACCCGACCCGCGGTCCGGTTGGTCGGGTTGGTGACTCGGCTGGGTCGGGAAGGACGTTCGGCCTCACTACATGTTCAGACATCTGCACCTGGTCCTGTTCCAAACCAATTCTCGTTAAGCCTAATGCTAACCCAATTGGTTGTTCTCAAGGGTTCTTTGGCTGACCTTCTTCAGTGTGCTACAATCATGAGGCAAAGGATCTGGATGCAAACTACCAGCTCAATACTCTTTGGCAAGGACAAACCTCAGAAAGGTAAAGACATGTCAGCAGGTGTCGCCCATATCGACTCCACAATAAAGCTGAGTTGAAAGAGATTACAGTATACTTTCATGCCCTTCCTGGCCTTTTAACCAAGAAAGAGGAGTCCTCACAGAAAAGCCCCACTTTCGCTGATTGATCCTAGATTCTAGATATTCAGCCACGAATGGACTCCTTTTGGCAATATGGCTGCTCAACACCCACCCATCGCTTAAATATGAAACTTATATAGGCAGTCCCACTCTTCATCCAATCCGCGGGGATGAATCTATTTGTGTGGACATGTGTGGACTATGTAATGACTTTAGCCACCAAATCGGATGCTTTTCTCTCTTCTCTCCTCTCCTGGCCTACCCGTAGCAGTCGTGCTTCTGAGTTATTTTCCACCTGATCCAGGTGCGTGCACATGCAGGGCGACGCACATTGCGAGAAATCTCCGGGGTGTCTGGGTGAAGGTAATTCGCAGAAAACCGTATGTATCTTGTGCAATGTCTTTGGGAGAACTCTTGTTGTGGTTGCAGACCCTCACTTCCCACAACTAGTGCATGCATATGCCTGTCCCGCTGTCCTACCAGGCCACAAAAACAAACAAATAAACAAACAAACGAAGGCTTTGGTAGTCTTCTATGGCTCACATAGTTAGCAGCTCAGCTGCATGCGTTTGCCAACCATAGAGATTACTATGATCACGACTGCAGCGGTTGCACTGTGAGTGGTGTCTCAAGAGTTGCCTCGAAAAATCAACCTTAGGAACAAACCCAGTTATGCCTTCGCAAAACTGATGAAGAATGAAACCCAATTGAAAAGTACATGAAATCTTCTGAACATATTTCTATATATATATAAGAAATAAAAAGAAAAATACAATATATTATAATATTATATAATCCATAAAAATCCTGTGGGTGCAGGTCCCCTCATCAAGCCTTGGAAGGGCTGTCTCTGTTGGCTGTGCCAAAATCTGAGCAGCACACGGCTTGAAGGCCCTGCAGGAGCTGCTGCAGTTGTCCATGTGCTCGTAGGCACAGGCGCACTGGAGCCAAAGAGACCTTGGTGAGGCGCCCACCGGAACTTCACAGCAAAAGGCTCAGAAGTGGAGCACCAAAGGCCATGAAGTCCATAGCTTTGAGGGCCTCCCAATATCAGGCACTCGCAAATATACGAGACCCAAAGAGACTGCTTGTTGGAAAGCCATGCAAAGCCAGAAAAAAACCAAGGAGCCAAATCAAAGATCTCCGTCAGCTTCCTGCGTTGGTGTCACACAAGCCAAATCCAACGTACAGGCTGGCTACGCTTCTACTCTACGATTTTTTGTGCATCGTCTGTAGTCTGTAAAGAATCCCTGCACGTCAGTCAACGACCGAAAACGGCACTCTGTATTGGCATGCTGTGACCTGAGTGCCAAATGTTTAAAAGGCAACGCACTGCCTGCCTGAGAGTGAGAGGCTCACCTTTCGGAGACATGAGGTATGCAAAGCAATCCAATAGAGCCTCCACGGTCGAAAGCGAGAGTTTCGCTTTCGCTTCGTCGGAAGCATTTCGAGAATGGATCCGTGAAGGAGCATTTCGTGAAGGATCTCGGTCAGAGCCACTGGGCAATACTGGGGATACACACTATAGTAGCGTCCTTGCTCCTAGTAGCGATGCCCAAGGCACGCCGTATGAAAACCCTTGGAGAGCACCAAATGAAACTCGACAACCACTGGGTTCGAGAAGAAAACGCGGAAACCCCATGGATCACTTCTCAGGGTCCATGTTGGTCTGCGGGGGGGTTGGTCCCAGAGCTGGTCCCCCATATCCAACCTTTGTCAACCACTTGGGTTGGGGGGACCACAACCTCCACACCCTCCCGGTCTTGAGACACGCAGCCGCCGTTGATGGACTTCTGCCCTCGTCGAGACACGGAGACAGGGGTGGTCCTTTTAGATCTGTTTCGTAGAATCTATTTCATCCCTTCACATTGGGTTTGTACTACCCCAGCCAGGCGGGTCTGCTGCACGAGGCAGTCCTGGCACCTTCCTCTATCTCGGCTCGCTCGAGATCGGTCGCTTGTGGTGAGGCCTCTGGTGTGCTGTGGCCACCCAAGTCTCCTGGCCACTGGAAAAATCGATCGAAGGGACCCTGCCGTGTGCATTGAAATAGGGAGACCTCCCAGGCAACGACCTGGAAGTGACCCTGCCCTGGTCGGACCAAGGGGGGTTGTTTGGAAAAGGGATGTTCGGAAACAGCCTGGAAGCTCCTTAGCAGATCCATGTTTCTGGGAGTCTTGCTTGCTGCTAGTAGCCATGTGGATGCTTATTTTAATAGGTAGACAACCCTGGCCCAATGGGTAGACTGGTCACCGAACTCGGTGGGTTCGTCTGCCTGTTGTTCCCTTCCCGGCATCGCGGACTCCATCAAACACGACGCACACAGCTCCCCCCCGTTCAGTACCTTGGTCTCGCGCAGCTTTGCCTATGTGTTAAAAGGTGGCCACAGCAGTTTCATACCTGCGACCTGCTAAGATTGTTGGAAGAGTCAGCTGTTCTCAGCATGACGAACGTCGAAACTCTGAACTCAAACCTCACCTTCGTCTGTTCGTCAATCAGGGAAACCTGCACAAACACTCCTGAGCACTCCCCCTCCTGATCGACTCATTCCCTTCTCCGTGCGCCTTCCGATTTGGGGCACGGTGCAGACCAGACGGAAGGCGTGTGCGAGGAAGCCTGGCAACACCCCGCGTGTGAAGGCTGGCTCCGCAAAGAAATCCCCAAGCGCGGGTGCCATCAAAAGGGCTCGCCATACAAAACAAAAACACATCTGAATAGTACCGAAACATGAGTAGTTTGGACCGACTCCGCAATCTTCAACTCCGTCCAATGCAACCCGCGGCAGGTCGTGGCGGTCCGCGCGGGGGCGCGCTTTGCTGTCAGTGTTTCGGTCACCGAGCAACGAGCACATCTTTGAATTACGGCAAGACTTTGGTGTCACTGGCACTTTGGGTGGACCTCGTAAGCCGTCCCTCTTTGTCGCTGTCCGTCCCCAGAAAGAACAGGTCGCCCAGGATTGAAAGCAGGTCCTCATCTTTGTTCCACAACACATTTTCTATAGGTCAGTTAGCTGCAGTTCTTCAGGCTCTGGCAGTTCTTGCAGATCCAGGAAATTGATGAGAATTCAGCGACAACTTGCTGGAGCTCGACACTTTGGCAGAGCCGAGTCGCGACTCGCCAAATGTTTGCGCTGTTGAAATCACAGGGCAGCAGCACCCCTGAAATTCCCAGGCAATAACGATTCAACCGGTCAGGGCTAGGGCCTAGGGGAATAAGATCTGAAATTTCACCCAAAGGCTCACGTCCAACCACGAGCGATGACTCTAGAACAATCATTGGACGAACCTTCAACGATGCACTCTTTCCCCATCTTTCATGCTGTAAGTCCCTCGAAAATCCGGAGAAACCAATGGAATCGTCACGTGCCCAGGCTCCTTTGTACAACGGACACCGTGCCGGTCGTGACCGGTCAGCCTCCACAGTTGCATCGAATTGGCCGGCGATGCAGCGTGGCGGTGTGCAGTGGAGCTCCCGCCACTGACCCACAAAACAGACTCACTGATGCTCACTCCTCCGCCACACTGACCTTGCCCAAGACTCCCATATGTGCCAGGACATTCAGAACTGTCTTCCTCAGAGTGCGAGACAGGAACATTCTTCCGCTCGTTGGTAAAGAACGCCTTGAAACAGGCTGCACGGACTCCATCATACCCACCCGTCTGTAAGCCTCAAGGAATCTCAATAACGATTTTAGAGGCACAGTAGGAGAGACCCCTTCACCATCGTGTACTCCAACCATGCCGTGTCAGGCCAAAAATCCGTCAACCCGGTACCATGCTTCCAACCTAGAAAATCATCGTGGGTCCCTCGTGTTTGCATATCTGGGGAGTCACCTCTTCTTGGATGTCTCTGGTCATTGCAAGCATAGATCATTTGCAAAGAAAGACCTATAGTCGGCCAATTAAAAAAGTAACCTGCAACTCTGGCAAAGGTCAATTGGAAATTCCGACTTGGTCTCTTTGATTCACCAAATTTTCATGGATGTCTCTCCGGTCTGCCCACCCCATTAGCGGACCGGACAGGAATTCGGAGTGATGCCAAGGATCTTCTCTTTGGCACTGAATTCCTGCAGTGCCCAGCTGAAAAGTTGAGAGGTGAAACAACTGCACTGAGAAAAAGAACAGCGACACGAAGCAGCGAGGACGTGTAAGGCTTGAAAGGAATCCCCACAAAAAAAGGTGTATTGACACGTCCAGTTTGGCAGTTTCTAACCACTGGAAGGCTTTTTCTAGAGATTCCCACATCTATCCGAAGGCGCTAAGCCATCGAGACTCTGGTCCGAAGGAACCTCCTCAAACGCACCCCCGGTCGGCCGAGAGATCGTCGACCCCCGGTCGGCGCTGCGAAGGCCCGTCCTGGTGTCGGGGAGACGAGTGGATGTGATACATGAAGCCTTTGTAGGTGATGCAAAAGTTGTCCTTGTTCACAAGCCTCGGCGAAAAAGAAGCACACGTCGGACCCACGCAAAAAGGAACCGTCGTTGGTCTCCGAGTCACTGTGGTAAGGGGGTGCAGAAGTGGGTAACATCACTAGACGACCTCGTGCTACGGGAGATAAGCCCAGCCATATTTACAAGGTGTTACATTTACGAGTTCGGTTCGTCGGTTCATCGCTTCCAAAAAGTGGATGGACAACGGACTAATATATGAGCTCGTGGTTTGGCACCTAATCTGGATACGGGATGATGCGGGTCATGAACATCAAGAGGAAATAAGAGGAATTGGTTTTCCTGAGGTCACGGTTGTATGTTGCACAGGTGTCCCAGGGGGATTTCAGGAAGCTCAACTGGTTGGAACAGTGCTGGCGCATCGAGGCGTGGAAAAGGGGGCTTGCAGGAAAGTGATGCACATGCTACGCAAGTGTCTGCATGGTTCGCTGAGCACGTGGCATATGAGGGGGCCGCCGGTGCCAAACAGTGCCAAAGCATGGGTCCAAAACCATGACTAACATCCTATTTTGTGATATGTTGGAATCAAATTCAAGTGACTGCGAGGGTCTAAAAAAGAACAAGAGCTTCAATCTGATGACGCACGGATCACTGTTTAGGTGGAAGTAGCTGCGTTTGCATTGATTGGGAAGAGTACGCCGGTGCTCGTCCCAGCATCCCAGCAAGCGGATTGTTCGTTGGAAGGATATGGCCAGCGACCCCGACAGGAGACACTGTCGGACCCCACGAGAAGGGCCATGGAAGCAAAAGAAGAAACTCGGCCCCACTGCCCCACGAGCAAGTGCAATGCAGCATAGCGAGTGATCAGTTGCCAGCTTATTGTGAAGCTGCACCAATTCAGCTGATCCTGTGCCTGTTTTTGTGCCTGGAAGGGAACGATTTCAGAGGCCAAGCAAAGCCATTTGGGTGTGTGTGTGTGTGTGTGCAAGAAGGATTGAAAACCCCAACGTGTTCTCCCCAAATCAAAGTCAACCTTTCCAGAACCTTAAGCTTCAAGGGCAACCAAACACAGGGTTTGTGGTTGTTGAGATGCTGCTAAGCAAACCATATCTCACTTCAGAAAGTGAATCAATCGCCTCTTTGCTTATTGCTTTCCTGGAAACTTGTCAGGATAAGACACGTGCTTATCGCCAATGGTGTGGGCGATGGCTGTGATCCATCTGAGGACCTCCAGAGCTGACAGGTGAAAGAAACAAAAAGAACTGCTTCACTTGTCTTCCTGCATCATGTGCCCGTAAAGCACACTTGGAATGTCACTCACCTCGCTGGATGTCTCTATAGGTCGCCCTGGAGGGACGAACCATGTCGGAGCCTCGCTGTGCTTGTCACGGCGTAGATTCTCGAACTCCTCCGGTAGATGGCCTTGGATCCGAACACTTGGAGCAGTTCGTCTGCAGAAAACTGTTGTCATTTGGAAGCCAAGCCTTGCTAGAGTACGACCAATCAGTTCCGATTTGACATTTAAAAAGCCACTTGGAGATTGAACAAGTAGAAATAACACCTGGAAACACAAGCACCCGAAACAAATGGTTGTTCCAATATGGCAATTGAGATCCTTTATACTAAGAGGAAGTGGCTGGAACTCAGGAAACAACCATTTGCTTCTGGGTGGAAATAGGTTTTCAGGCATGGCTAGGAGAAGATTGATCCCGTTTTGCGAGAAGAACCCGCCACGTGATCAACCAAGCAGCTCAAGTCATACCTCGGGATCTTCCTGGGATCGACTATCACAGGTTTGGTCGCCGGGTGCGCGATCTCCGGTGTCTTGTGGGCCGCCTGGTGGGTCTTCTTCGATAGAACCTTGCTGTAACGCACTTGCCCGACAGGGCTGCAGAAGCTCCGAAGAATGCGCACGGGCACCCTCACAGCCATCAGAAGGAGGAACGTAGCTGATCTAAAGGTTCATAGGCTGGACTCTAGCTAGATCATCTGTTCACGATTCAACCGCTTTGAAAAAAACTGCCAACATAACGCACATGTCAAAGATATGCATGGTTTCAAGCATGCTGAGCTGTCTATTCCGCAACCTGAAATGATTCGCCGTCAATTCAATGCTGCTTGCTCACCTCACTCAAGAACCTCTTTTGCGTGTTTGTGCAACATTGGATATTTGTTCCACCCAAAAACACCTCTTTTGAGGGTTCACATGATTTGGACTAAACGGCTTCCAGGCATAGTTTTTCTTTGTGCACGCCAAGTCAAATTTCATAAGAAATGCAGTGTAGCTACATATGCACATTTCTTTGATGCGATGTTATCACTCAGAAATGGCTGCCACATTGTGGCAACTATCGTCTTTGAGGAAAGGCGCCTTTGGGTCATCTTAGCAAATCCTAAGGCCTAAGGATCATGAAAAATCCTCTCAATCCTTGTTTGGAAATAGTGTGTTCTTTTTGTCTTGGCCCCACTTCGCCTCTATCCGACTCTATCTACATCGCCCTTCCACAGAACGGCACGCCTCATTCTTCATCTTGAATTTACGTGGCGAAAACAAGGTTCGGCGGTAGATCATCCTCAGGCGATCGCATGTGCAAATCACATCTGAACAAAATATTCATCGTCGACTGTTGAGGAATAAAGCCTCCGCAAACATGGATTTTGAAATCCTTTTTGTGCCTGCGGGGCTCACATATCATCAACAGTCTACATGATTCATCGAACCGCGTCCATGATGCCCGTCCCACCTTGTGAAGTGATCGCGACGCGGTCACCGAGCTGTGTGGCGTCGGAACAAAAACAATAAGCCGAAAAGGCCACCAAATTGCAGCAAACCTCAAATCTAAGCTACAATTTCCCTTGCATTGGCGATTCGTGTCAATCCACATGGCAAGCTGACCAAAAGAGATTCAACAGCAACGCATGGAGGTTCAGCTGCTGCGGTGTCCTTTTAACCACCCAACCATCCTCGCTATCCGTCCTCGATTGGCGAGAACAAATATCAGTGCCCTCTGATGGTTTGGGTTTCGGTTGCTTTCCAAGCAGCTTGATGGTCTTTTCAAAGGCCCTCCGGATCGAATCCTTGTTGTTAAGCCAATCTGCCAAAGTTCAGCCTCACTCGAGTGAGGCCACAACTCGAACGTTAAACCACTAAGCAGATGTGTTTCCAATCCTCACCACTGGATCCACACCACAGGGGAGATCTCTATTTTTTTTGCACGGATGGAGCCGCCATGTGTGCAGAGAATCCACAGGTCAGCTTGTGCACACCACAGGGGAGATCTCTAGCTGAGATTGTTTTTGCACGAGTCGAGGCGCTGTGTGTGCAGGTTATGCACAAGTCACCTTAAGCTAGTAAGAGAAGGAGAAATGAACCGGCCAAAAAACGAAACCGAAGCAAACCCCACCAACCCATGGCACGGTACATATCTGGGGAAATCTCTAACTGAGGAAAGATAATAAAAGGAAACACAGAGTTTGAACTTGTCTGGTTTCAACCACTTGTTTTCCCCACATCACTGTGTGGGGTTCTTGTTTTTCGCTCTGCACCCACCGCTCCGCGACCGCCCTCCGCCCCGACTGACAACACAACTCATCACATCCAACTCATCTTGCACCACTCATTCACACCACTCATTTCACACAACTCATCACATCCACTCATCCTACACAACTCATCACATTTACTCATCTTACACCACTGATCTTACACCACCATCACATCCATTCATCTTGCACCACTCATCTCACACAACTCATCACATCGACTCATCTCACACAACTCATCACATCCCATTCATTTTGCACAACTCATCACACCCACTCATGTCAACGTCTCACACACAACATATTTTTACAACTCATCAAAGTGCAGATTTCGCAGCAGGTGAATCTTGAAGCAACCATCCGTGGTCCCATGCTTCGTTTGCACGAGTCGAGGCGCTATGTGTGCAGGTTCTGCACAAGTCACCTTTATCGAGTTAAGAAGGAGTTACTATACAGGTTGCATCACAACAGAAGAACAAACCCCCACAAAACACACACCAAAACCCAGACAAAACCAAAAGCAGGAAGCAACCTGTTGCGCAACTCGTGTGGCCTTGCAGGCATTGCGAGAGAGGGTGAGACGGGGCAATGAATTCAGCAGCGCTCTCAGTATAACTTGTCCCTCAACAAACTTGTGAGTGCCTGCGTCGTTCGAGGCAGCGTTGGGAAATCTTGCCCTAGGGCCGAGAGGCATAAACAAAAAAACGCCCGCAGCAGGCAGGAGGCGTACACAAGCTATACCCTTGAATGCACTGTAATTGCACTTGACAGACATCAGTGCGTTGTTTGAGCGTTGTTTGAGCGATATCCAGTAGCAGGTCCCCGAAGGACAAAATGGGACCTACTGCTGTGCCGCACACGATGATTAGGGGCTCAAAATGTGGCATGATGTGGCAACTATCGGAAGACCACTGCACTTGCGATCGGAATTTCCAAAATGCCGAAAGGCAAGGAGCAGTGTTTTTGCCACTCAGCAGTGTTGGACGAATGAGCCTATAGAGGGTGGCGTGTCCCGTTCCTCCCCCGAGGGGGGAGGAGGCAAAAAAGGGAGCGTGTAGATCCCGCCCCTACTCCAAAACGGCTAGGCGACGGGAGCAAGGCAAGAAACGCTCCTACGGACAGCAAAGGTGTGCATTCTTCCCATCAGTGACACCGCAGTCAAGCACCTGTCATCTCCCCTCAATGGTGGCCAGGAAGGAACGGCCAATACGCGCGTAGCCCCATGAACTAATCGAAAATGGGTGAGACAGAGTGAGACGCCGTTTTCCTAAATCTGTACACTATACCCATCCAGCACCGCTACACGGGTAGCAGTCTGGGCACTACCTAGCTACTCAGGCTAGCAAGTGTGAAGGGCAAAACGAAATGGAGTGGCACTTTCAGGACCAACACACCGGCGCTAGTCTGAAAGGCTAGCCTGGAGGTGTTAGACAGCATTGGCAGCCATGTGTGACAGCGTGTGTCTATTGATCCTATGGTTGTCTTGGTCCTGGTCGCTGGCACTTTCCCTACAGGCATACCACGGAACTCCTTCAATGGGCAGCTTTCTTGTTAGGGTACTCCAGAGAGGTGGACTCTGACATGGGCAGAGCCAGCACGCGGGTGCCAGCTGCAGACGCGGCTTCATGCATCTCTAGACATTTACCACTAATTTAGGACTGCATTGGAGTCATCAGCCCATTGGTCCTCATCTTTTTGATTACGTGGTAGCCATCGAACCCACTTTGGCATATCAAGATTGTCGCACTTGAGAAACGCATTAGCCCTGGAATATGTTCCCCTCCAAGTCATGCATTTTCCGACTCTGTGGAATTGGCAGAGTCGTGTACAGCCAGCGAAAGCACGTCTTGCAATATAGAGCAGCGTAGGTGGAACACTGACCTCTGTCAGGGAGGTACACTTGAGAAAGGCTTCTTGCTCGATTATTCGCAGTTTCTGCGGAAGCCCTAGGTGTTGCAAGTGTTTGCAGTGTGCAAAGGCCGAGCCCATGATCTCCGTCACTTCTGTGCTTGTGAGGTCTACCTGTTGCAATTGCAGACAGCGTTCGCAGGCCGCTGGTCCAATCCAATTAAAGTTTGGAGGTAGGGACAGGGAGGTTATTCCAGCATCCAGGAAGCAGCACTCTGGCAGGCAGCGTGTCAAATTGGCAGGGTTGTACTCAGACTGTCCCAAGTCCAGATGTCGCAGCGCTGTGCATTTTTCGAAGGCCCTAGGCATCAACTCTGCCTGCGGGGCTAGTTGATTGGCCGTGTCAACGCTAGTTCCAATCTGCATCAAGGAGCAACAATCCTCAAAGACTTGGATCCCAAACTGCCTGCAGCCTGGGGCAAGCACCGTGCGGAGTGCATAGCATCTGCGGAAGACACGTGTTTGTAGGCAGATGACTGCGCTAGCTAAATGCACAATTTGGAGGCGTTGGCAGTTGCGCCATGCAGCTTCCCCTATGACGCGGAGGCCTGTGTCAACCTGCACATGCCGAACCTCCGTGATATAAGAGAAGGCTTGTGGAAGGACTCTGTCTGTGGTGCGATACGGGACTCGAATGGCTTTCGCGTCCCCTTTCACTTGCCCCTTGTGTTCGGCTTCCTCAAAGCATGGGCACGAGATGACAGTAAAACAATTGTTATCTCTTAGGGTGTGCCATATTGGGTCCACTAATTTCTGGTGAGTGCTACGGCAGACAAAATCCAGCTCACAGCCAAAGGTGCTGCTCTCTCCAATTTTGGGGAGTTGCTCCAAGACTGCATTTTCGAATTCATGGAAGCGGTCATATTCCTGCAGGTCGATTGTCAGCTGGGTTTCCTCCCCCGCCAGCGTGGTCAAGATCAGGTGTAAGACCATTGTCCTTTCATCGCTCCATTGTGAGCTGGTCACTGACATATGGTCTGTTGTCATGGTTGACAGTGGTTGGCCCGGAGATTCACGCCTGACTTCGAGCCGAAAAGTCCTGCAGCAGACCACAAAAGGCCTCACCTATCTAGCAGTTTCACAAATAGAGGTTGGAACACGGACAACTGCACGGGCAGCCGTCTGAGTGCTTTTCAAACTGTACTAGTGCTCAGTTTGATTACCTCGACCCCGGGATATATTCCCTTGATTGCTATGGCTGCTACGCAAGGATAGATAGCAAATCCCACCAGGGATTGTCAATGCCTGACACCCCTCAAACGCATCAGCAGCAATAGACAGGCGTCGTCGGCTGGTTTTCGTACTTCTATATAGGTGAGGCACACTAACTTATTGCACCCTGCAAAAGCCCTGTGTCCAATATAACGAAGCTGTTGTGGGAGGGCGACTGTGCATAACGATCCGCAGGCTTCGAACGCTTCAGCACTGATTTCCTTTAGATACATTGGCAAGGATACATGCGCCAATGACTGGCAGTGCGCAAAGACTTGCATGTGCACAATGTCCACTTGTGTCTGCGAGAGATCGACTTCAACTAGCTGCTTACATTGCGCAAAGGCCTTGTGCCCGATAAAGGTGGTTCCTTGGGGCATTCGAATCAATTGGATTCCTGACGAATGGAAGCATCCAATTGGTAAGCCTAGAGGGGTGGACGAGGGAGCCCTTATATCAGCGATAGCTTTTGTTGGGGGGAGGCCAATCTGTGCAAGCCTTTCGCATCCCTCAAAGGCATAGGGGGAGATAATAGCCCCATTGGCCAGTCGACAGGAGTTTTCTGTGAGCACCCCTACTTTCTCGAGGGCACAACATTCTGCGAAGAGTCTGGCTCCAAGAGACACGCACCCTGGCATTGCAACCGTGGTGAGCGCATAACACCCTTGGAAGGCAGCATTCTCGACTGCCACCACAGAGCTCGGCAATTTGACAATGGTCAGGGTGTGGCAGTAGCGCCACGCCTGCCGCTCGATGGTGTGAAAGCCGGCTTCTACTTGCACACGCCGAAGACGTGCAAGAGAGAAAAAAGCTTTGGCAGGGAGGATACCTGATTCGTTGGCTGGAACCAAAATGGCCTTGGGGTGATCTTCATACTCTTCTCGTTTGATTTGCTCCTTCGAGCTCACCTCTCGTAGACATTTTTGAATGACCAGATGAAATCCCTTACTGTCCCAGAGCTCTTCATGAATTGGGTCACTGAGGGGGCAGAGGGTGTCTTCGGCAAGGAGCGTCAACTCGCACTCAAAGGTGTCCAGGCCAAAACTTTTGGGTAACAGCTCTACTAAATAGTCTTCTAGCATTTCCCAATGATGGTATTTTT